GAGACTGAGAATCCCAAGCAGGCTCCAGTGTCAGTACCGATCCCATGACCCTGAGATCATGACCTGAGCTGAAATCAAGTGTCAGCCTCCTACTGACTGAGCCACCCAGACACCCCAAAACTTAAACACCCTAATAATCATTCTGTCGTTAAAAGGCCTGTATGTCAAAGTACTTGCATCGTATGGCATTTCTAGATTGGACTGGTGGTTCACAGATGGTCCTATCCCCTCTGCATCTCTCTTCAAAATGTACCTTCTTTCCCTGGCAGTGGATGGGTTGTTCATGTTATGGTCTCCTGGCTTCCATGTACAAGCCAGAAAGTTGGTGATATCTTTTTAAGCCTCAACAAGAAGAATATTTTTTTTTAAATTTTTTTCTCCTGTTATATCTCACTTTCCAATTTTCCACTCCCCTAGAGTTCAGCTGTCTGCCTCACAGTATGGTCCTGCCATATAAGAGAAAATAGCAGATATAAATGCATTTTAAGGAGAGTGATCTTCCACATCTTTCCAGAATGGAAAGGAAGAATGTGAGCAATGTGAAGCAGGTGAAGCAGTGATTTCGGTAGCGTATTATTGGATGCTCCATGGTTTCCCACTTTCATTCACTGATAAACTCCAATGATCCTAACATGTCTCATTTTTACATATATAAAATAAACATTTGAAATCTTTAAGCTGTCTTTAAAACTATAATCAAAGAGAATCTTTGAAGGGGAAACTGCCTCTGCTGAATTAGAGCCTTCACCTGGGGGTGCTCAGTTGGTTAAGTGCCCAAGTCTTGGTTTCAGGTCAGGTTCTGATCTCACAGTTCATGAGTTCGAGCCCCATGTTGGGCCCTGCACTTCACAGCATGGAGCCTGCTTGGGATTTTCTCTCTCCCTCTCTTTCTGCCCCTACCCTGCTCATGCTCGCTCGCTCTCTCTCTCTCTCTCTCTCTCTCTCTCTCTCTCTCAAAATAAATAAATAAATAAACTTAAAAAATAGTTTAAAACAGGTGAGCACCTAGAGGCTGAATCTAATAACCACAGTCAAAGAGAAGAGTTTCAAGCTTGGAATGACATATGCTGGACTCCAGGAGTTGGCATCTGCCCCAAGCCCCTGTTTCCACAGTCCATGAATGCATGTGAGCTATAGGCCATAGGCAAAAGGCAGTATTTCAGCCAGTATTCTTTTCCTTAACATTCATTTGTAGAAGATGAAAACGCAAGACATTTCTGTCAGACTGAAAAAAAAGGAGTTGGAGCTAGAAGAAAGCTTCAGGGGAAAAAAAAATTTAAAGAAATTCATGCCTAAAGACAATGAATTGAAGCCAGACCATACATTTTCATCACTGCAAACCCTTGGAACTCCTTTCTCTATCCTTCCCTAAAATTTCTCTCCAAAGCTCCTTTTTATGCCTGTAAAAGTGTTAGTTTTATTATGGATTTATGTTAAAAGGATTGATGTATTTTCATCACAGAAACATTCAGCATGTAGGTTAAGATTACCTCAATGTTAAGATGTTTACAATGAAAATAATACTACTTTCTGCTTTGTAGGCTTCTTGTATGAACTGTGTGAGATAATGCAGGGAAAGTGTTTAGCACAGTACCTGGTGAATCCTCAGTAACATCCGATATAGCAGTGGCAGCTGATGCCATGGTGTAGATGCTGTTTTCACTGCAGTTCAGCCATCAGAGCTTCACAAAAACCAGAGCTGTGTTTTTGGGTTTGTTTGGTTTTTGTTTTGTTTTGTTTTGTTTTGTTTTGTTTTGTTTTGTTTTGTTTTGTTTT